TTTATTTTTTTTTTTTTTTTTTTTTTTTTATAACTTGGTTCTTGGCCTAATTTGGGTAGGCAAGAACTTCATAGACTGCATTGGGGCGCTCTGCGTGTTTCCTCAGGCCCTCATAATTAATCAGTGCCGAGCAGATCCTCCCAGTCCCTCTGTGAGGAGGCACTGGAGGAAGGCTGTTCCATAGCCTTACGTTTAGCTCATTTGTCAGCCTTAAGAAGGACTTTCTGTTCTTCAGAGATGCCTTTTCTGGAAGGAGGGGCGTTCCTGGCCTGCAAGGCCCCTCTATACTAAGTATTTCGCTACAGGCTGCAGAAGGCTTAGGTGAGTTTTCATGATACAAGCTGAGTTTTCAATAAGTTAGTAATATGGTTTGATGCTGGAAACCAATATTCTAGCTTTTTTGGTGCACTTCTGGGTAACTCTGATCTGTGGAACTCAGCTTCTGACACAAGGAATTTGCAAAAAGTCTCATGCCAGTAGCTCAAACCCTCAAAGTTGTGATAAATGGCAGATGCATGTGTTCCTTCTAAACCAGAATGGCTTCTGTGTTTAACTGCATATTTAAGCGCTGTATGTGCACCACGCTGTGCTATCAGGCAGCTCTGCTTGTAAAGTCTGTTTATACAGACAGCTGAAAAGCCTTGTGAGTCTTTCAGGGTCTCTGGCATGCTGGGAGAAAGCTTCAGCACCTTCAGTCTGCTGCTTTTTGCTGTATGTTTACCATCACTGGTGATCTTTGCACCTCGGAGGCTACAGAAAGACATTACTGTAGCCAGTGCCATTCTGAGCTGACTTGTGATAGTCCAACCCCTGACAAGAACAGGGCAAAAATCTGGTCCAGCTTTACAGTGTTTTCATAGTCTAGTCCAGGTCTCTATAAACCATTTAAAATTGCCTTCAGGTTTAAGTTTTCCAATTTCCCATTTGGAACAGGTGTTGCCAGGTTATAGAAAGTGTTGCAGAAAAGGAACAAAAACATTTTAAAAACTCTGTGCTGTTACAAATTTTGGCAAGTCCCTGACAGATGAGATTTTAAAAAAAAGTTTGCCCCACCCAAATTAAAACAAGTGCAGACCTTGCTTACTTTTCCCAGCTGTCATGTTTAAATAGGGTTTTTAGTAATGCATGAGTCTTCAAAAGATCTAGCAGTACAGAGCTAATATGTTTTTATATGAAAATATGTAACTTCTCAATTGTTTATCTCATTTAATTGGGGAGAGAAAGGGGGTGAAGAATTTTTTTTGAAATGTCAAAAAATAAATTTCAGAGATGCATGTTCTTGGAGTGGTTAAAAACGAACCCAAACTAGGCTTCAGGCAATGTTTTTTCAACAGCTTTAACCTCAAAGCATAGAGCAGACAGCTTTGTAGGCAACTGTAACACTAAGGTGATTATGGCAGTGACTCACACTTCCCTGTAAGGCATCCAGCTATCAACGCACTTGGAGAGCTGTGGCTTTGTGCGTGCAGGCAGGGTGTCAGTCAGTGCCCACTTGCCAGCCAGCTCCCAACTGCTGAGCTCGTAACTGCTTCGACAGGGAGCTGGGATATTGGTGTATTAGAGAGAAACTCTGGTCCCCCCTGGGCTTGCAAGAGGCTTAAGAGATGGGAGCTTGGGAAGGGGAAGTGCAAGGCAGGTTTAACTTCCCTCTTCTTTGCTTAATCCTCGTGGCACTTGTTTCAAGAATCCCCTGAAGTCTTCCTGTGAGCAGGTGGTTGGGTTTGGGTAATAGTTAAAGGTCTGACTGACTAACCACTAAGCGGGGTAGCATGGCAAGCGAAAAGCGCTGCTACTGTCATGTCCTGGTGAAACTCTTCTAATGGTTATGGAAAGAGGACTGGCAGTTGGTGTCCTCAGGAAGACAGTATGAACTTGGGAAAGAGACTGGGGTATCCCTATAGGCAGCTGAGAGTACAACAGTAAACTACTGCCAGATGTTCAGATTTGCAGGGAGCAAGTGAAAAGAAAGTGGGGACTCATTCACGTGCATTGTGGGTTTCCCCATCTCCAAAAGATAAGGCAGAAGCCAAGCTGCCTTCAGAGAAGGGAAACAGCAGTGATTGTGGTATGGAGGAAGTCGTCTGGGTGAGGAATTGGGAGACTGGGGTTGTTCACATTGAAAGACTGACAGAAAGGAGGCTGCATCCGAACTGAATGCTTGGGAAGAAGAGGTATTCAGAAAGATGACAAATTCAAGCTTCTGAAAGGAAATAGATTTTCACATAGTGTGCAATTACATTGTGGGATGCATGGAATGCAATTGCCAGCTGGGCAGGATGTCATCAGGAGGGAACAAAATGTAGCTTTGGGAGTGTGCAGGTATGCTGTTGCAGGTGGTATCCACAGATGACATAACTAAAGCTTTAAAAAACAAATAACTGGTGATATAAAACTGGCCACATCCATGGTTCAATTACCAAGGCCAATCTTGATAGGTTATTTGGGTTCCTCTGTCCTCGGTGATAAGTTTCTTGCACCTCTGACTAAAATTGTCTTGTACCAGATACTGTTTGCGGCTGGGCAAGCTGGGCTGTTGTGACTCAGTATTGCCCTTCCTGTGTGGGTTGTGTTTGGCTTTGCACATCTTATGTTTTCAGAGGTGAGGCAGAGTGAGTAATGTTTCCGTTCTATTAAAGAAAATGGAATGGCAAGACCCTTAATTTTTTTTTAAAGATGTACGTGTTTCATTTTAAGTTCCCTTCAGGCAAAGTCAGTCTTGGTAGGCAGCTTAAACTGCGTTATAGACCATATTGCTTTTGTCATAAAAACAAAATACACCGTGATCTGTTTTGGGAAACCAAACCAAACAATTTTTTTTTTCCTCCCTCCCCTCCCTCCTTTTTTCACTTCCTTCAGTTTTTAATAAGCGACCGTGACAGAGACCCTCAGTGTAACCTGCATTGCTCCAGGTCCCAGTCCAAACCCCTCTGTGCCTCTGACGGCAGAACATACGAGTCAATGTGCGACTACCAGAGAGCCAAATGCCGGGAGTCAAGTCTGAGCGTGACACATCGTGGCCGGTGCAAAGGTAGGTGGATTTCAAATGCCTTTGAGGGGAGGAAAGGGAGTCCTACCTCATAAGAAACTGGATTCTTAGACCCTTGAGATTAGTACCATGCTCTGTGAGTAATCTGATTGACACTGTGCATTCATGTGAGCATGGGTATCTGAGTCTGCGTTTAGGTGGCAGGAATAAGAACCGACCGAATTATCAATGAAAGAAGGCAAAGGAGCCAGAGACATCACTGAAAAAGGGCCGAAATATGTGTCTGCAGAGCAGAAGGAGATGGCCCCATGGAAATGCAAAATCAAATCCTGAAAGAAGAGATGTTCCTTGCTACCTGTGCCGGTGAGGAACCAAGATACCTTTGAGTGATAGGAATGTGGAGTGGGGAAAAACGTGCGGTCCACATTAGATGTCCAGTCCCTTTTCAGACATGCACAGCCTTTCTGTGCTGAGCTAATTAAGAAGTCAGAATGCATGCAAGGCTTTACATGGCCTCTTTTTTTGGCTGTTTGCTGTTACACATCTACTTAAAAGCGAGAATATTGTTTCTCAATCCTGCTCTTCAGCATAGCCTAAAGATAAAATTGGACCTTTTTAAAGTAATATTGGTGTCTTGTCACACAAATGGTTTGCTGCTGCAGTGAAGTGAAAAATCAAGTTGAGTGCATTTTCTGAGAGCACAGAGGGCAGATGGCACAGATGTTTTTAGCAATTGGTTAAAGTGACAGGAGAAACTCATTAAAATCCCTGTGGAAGGATAAATAGGCATATGTTTAAGCCTGACTTTTGTTTATGAAGGCTTTTTTACTATTATGAAAATGTATCTTTGTCAGAATTACTTGTCGGAAAATGAAAATCCATTTTCAGTGTATTGACAAGCTTTATAGCTTAGGTGAATTATGAGCATGACCTCAAATATTGCTCTTTTAAACAGTTTCTCATTGGAAAAAAGCTTACTTGTATGTGGTTTTGTTTTTTTTTTTTTTCCCTCACCACTGCTGGGTTGCTTTATGGCAGCTTCTCTCCCATAGCATAGAAAAAGGCCTTTGAATCATGCTGCTTTCTGAGTACTGAAAAGCCAGAAACTTTCTTCCCAGGGCCCAAGAAGTGGTTGGACTGTTCTTGCAAGTGATGCATTTTTGAGTGTCACGATAAGAAGCGGTGGGGAGGGAGTTCTGCTTCTGCTTTCATCACTTGAGCAGAGTGTCTTAGATAAGCAGCTCCATGGCTGATATTGGCATATAAACTGGCACTGTTCGGCCGTTTAAAACATGGGATCTGAAATGTGGTGCATCCATATGCAAAAGTGTTTCTGGAAGTGGAGAAATTGTTGATTGCTAGACTGCACAGCCTACTGTATATCGTGATTGCAGAAAGTCCCAAAGAAGTAACTAAAGACATTTTTGTCTTAAGCACAGGTAAAGTATACTTTCCTTTCTGCTTTCTCAGACACAACTGAAATGTTTAGCTGAAACTGCTCGCATTCTCCTTTCCTTTTCTCTTACCCTGTGGTACTACACAGTACCCAATAAGCCAGGAGTGTTTGACAGCTGCAAGTCTTACTTTCAACCCACTACTGCTCCCATGAATCCCTGGGAAGCAGGAATATTCTTTTAATTATCACATTCAAATTTAACCTTGCCGGTCATTTCCATGTGTGCTGCTATTGAAAGGTAGTTTGTTTTTCTAGTCACATTAGGAATATGATCTCTAGCTGTGCATAAAGATCACTGTTCTTGGCAAATACAGACAGTTGTGAGACAGGTGTGCCTAACTACAGGCGGCTGGCCAGGTCTGTATCTCATATTCACACAAAGGAAGGTATCACCAGCAGTGTTCGAGCACCTTCTACTGCTGCAGTAGGGCACCAGGTTTATCCTGAACAGCCTTCATTCCTTCTGCATATCAGAGATGCTCTACAGGGGAACTCCCGTAGAAATGGAAGGGATCCCATGGGCCATTGAGCCCACTCACATGCAATTGTGATAGATACTGTATCCAGGAACTTTTCCTGATGAAATCAGCAATTTTAACTTGTGCTTCCTTCTCTGAGCAGGGAAAAAACCCAGGTAACCAAAATAAGGAAAAGAGGAAGTATATTGTGGACAGCAAGGCATAGTTCTGCACCCCAGATTACCATAAGCTTCCAGTTTCATATGCCTTGATATGCCTTCATAACTTGAACTGTGCTTGTGCCAAGGCAAGCAGAATGGTTTCCATAGTGAGAACAGAACCTTTTTGATTCAGCTTAGCTCTCTGCTCTCTCTCAAGAAGCTAAGGACCTTTAAAGATGACATCTTGACAGCCCTTTGGGAACTATAACTCTTATTCAGCTCTCTCTCCTTGCTAGCTTCCTCATGTGCTTTTCAGTGAAATTCCTTCAGTGCTAAATTATCTGAACTCCGTCCGAACCCTCACTCACACATGACAAAGGGTTAAAAGTCAGGAGTAGCTTAAAATGATCAAACTACGGCATCCATGACAAATGGAGCCTCATTGATGAGATTCCAGAGAATAGTTCCAGATGGCGTAGCTGTGCGTAAAATAGACAGCCAAGCACTCCTACCTGGATCTTTTGTCAGCAGGCATCTTAAGATTTGATGTCAGATAAGAGTTCTGCCTCAAAACTTTGGAGGGATGAAGGACAAATACTTGTTAAATGAGTCTTGGCAAGCTGGCAAGATTATGCAGTGATTGTTAGGGTATATTGGAAATTTGTGGCTTAAAACACATATAAGTTCTATGTTAACTGGTTGGTTTCTAGTAACTTGTTTGGCCTATTTAATTAAAAAAAAAAGGTGTGGGAGTGTTCTAAAAACTTCCCTTTAGATTTATAACGGTTGGTTTTGAAAGTCTGCTGGTATAGATCTTGTTCTTAGATCACACATCTCTATGTAGAATCAACTTACCTCTAAGTTACTGGTGGGAATTGTAACAGGGGTCTTCAGCCCATCTGGGACAGCTCGATGAACACAACTTTTGGCTAATGTGCTGGAAAGGAAGGTCTCCTTCTGACTAGTGATGGGTTGTTTGAAGGTAATCTTTCTTCTCTGCCTACTTGTTCTCGTTGGACAGGAGATGGTATTTTGAAATCACTTTTTTTTTTTGTCCACTTGCTAGATCTGTATGTTTTGTCTTTGAATTTTCTTATTCCTAGTCAAGGGAGAATAAAGTGGGTCCTTCCTTGGCAGCGGTTAGTCCATAAAATCTGAAATTATACTTTCAATCAGTTTACAAATTTAGGCATGTTTTTAGGTATGCTCCAAATAAGTTAAGGAACTTTGGAGCAGAAATGGTATGTGGGTATCAAAGAAGGAATAAAGCACGTCAGCATGAAAGGGAAGAAGTTGGAGACTGCAGGTGTAGGACTTGTCAAATGAAGTGGAAAACAGTGGGGAGAGTGGAGAATGATTTACACCCTGTGGGACAGATGGGCATGTTTTTGTAGTTTGCTCAGGTTCCATTTTTGCCTGTTTTATGCAAAGACAGATCATTGGCTGGACTAAATGGGTATGAATCTGCTGACTTCAGTGTAGTTGGACTGCTTCATGCCTGGTGGGGACCTGGCCTGTATGTGAGACAGTTACCTAATGGAACTAGAAATAATTCAAAAGCTGCTTGGATCAATTTTTGCCCTTTGAGCTTTTGATAAAAACGAAGTAGAATTAAGATTAAATAGTTAGATTTTTGTGGTTGCAGGTATAGATTTGCTGCTAGTGTTATGTGGATGCCTGGAGATGTTTTACTTTGTATTATTAGGATAGCTTGGGTCTTTATACTGTGATGTTGTGTGGTGTCAAAACTGCCTCTGCCTGTTGAAGAGAGGATGCTAGAATTCTTGGGGCCTATTCAGGAGTGCACTGTGTATATTATGAGGGACACGGTGGTCCTATTTGAATAAGCTGTTCATGGATAAGATCAACCATGGTAACTAGCCAACTTCATTGCAAAATCCAAAATTATGTGCACCTGCATTCTGCAGATTAGGCCGCAGATGTCAAAAACATCACTTGTAGTTCACAATCTCCTAGTTGCCAGCTACCAACTTGAGAATGAATTTTCTTTTAAAAGGCAGCTTTCTGAGCTGCAGTAAATCTGTCCTAAGTTTGAAGATATTTAAAGTCGAATTATTAAACAGCTCTGCTTTTAAAAGAGTCATCTTGTTTTGGTTTTTCACCTTATGTAAGGCAGGCGAGAAAGTCCTATTTAGTCTGTCTGGACTGTGAAACTGGAATGCATTAATGCCATTCTGTTTTATAAGCTTGGTGTTTGATACTCCAGAGAACACTTTTAAGAAGAGGGAAGAAAAAGTGCTGAAACACTCAGGTAAACAATCAAAATGCAGAATAGGGTATATGAATCTACCTCATAACATCAGGCTTTAGTAAAATTTTAATGCATCTTATTAGGGGTGAGCTATTTGGCAGCTACTTTTTAACACTTGGCACTTATGTAATAATATACATTTTCTAATTAACAAAGCAAAAATAGCAAGGTGAAGTCATCCCACTGAAATCACATGTTGATGCAAACATTATAGAAATACCAGCCTGTGGAGTGAGGAAGAGAAGGATTGACAGTCCTTTTAAAAACAAACTGGTAAATGTTGATATTAAAGGCACTGTTTTTACTGGAACTGAACTGTGAAACGACAGACAAAAAAGATAGCAGTATGCACACACCTCTCCAGCCAGCATGGTATGTAGGTGGTTGTTCCAAGTCACGGCTGCAAAAGGACTGGCATGACCTTTGGAAATCAATGAGGGAGGATGGGAGAAGTAATCAGGGCTGAGTGTTCATGAACAAAAGAAAAATTGTCTGTCTTCTCTGCACTTCAGCAGCAATTTGTGAAGAGACGTCACTTGAGCCAAGGGTTGAATTGCAAAAGAGGATGCTGCAACAACGATGAGCTCTTAAACGCTGTGGTGTAGTGGTGGTGTGCTACGCCGTATGGTCTACTGGGTGGTAGTAGAGAGTTCAATCTATAAAGGCCAGTTAAAATTGCCAGGAGGGACATAGTCACCTTAGCAGTAACATGTTTATATTATCTTCTCCTTATAGTAAGGGCTTGATTGTGTGCACGTTTGCTCATTAGACAAATTGGACAAAGATCTGAGTTAGTCTCCCTTCTGCCTGGGCTCCTAATGTATTTGTACTACAGGGGATACCACAAAATGTTTGTTCCTACGAGCTATGTGGTGAAGCATCCAATTTCAGTCATGTAGTTGTGAGTGTGCCAGCACTAAAGTAGATGCTATGTGGAAATGCTTTACGCTTCTGTTTTATGTTCAGGAGAGGAACCAGATATGCCTGTCTGCAGTCCTGTATCCTCAGATGGAGAGACTAGAAAACACACTTCCATTTGTGAATCTGTGCTTTGATTGTCACATGAGAAATTGGCAACTTTTTTTTTTTAACTTCCTTGTATGAGCAGATCTGCATAATCTATGCTGATTTTTTTGCTGCTTAGTTGTCTCCTGTGAACCAGAACTTGAAGGTGTTTTTAGTCAGACAGCTAGCTATAAAACAGAAGGTGCAGCCACACCGTCTGGTTTTGTAATAATGTCCTATGCCATGCCAAGCAAGATTAGACTCTTAAGCTTGAACAGGAGATCTGCAGGTGATAGGTGTTCCAGTTAACAACATTGTCAGTGCTTTCTTTTCAGCTGAAAGAATAAGTGTGTGTTGGAAGGTTCAGTACTGCTGGCAGGGCCATCCTCCAGTGGAGGTGTGCAAACAAGGTCTGATCATCTGGTCACTTTGGCAAGCGGGGGGGGGAAAAAAGGAAATTCCAGCTTAGAGATTATATCATGGCTAATTAGAAAAAAAAAATACTGCTTCTCTAAATTCAGTGCAAATTGTATTCATGAAAGTCTTTTCATTCTGTGAGTAACAATCTTGCTCTTTTATACAAGCTTATAATAGGTCCACCTGAGATCAAAGCTTCGTGTGCTAAGGGTACTGTGCAAACACCCCACAAACAAATTACAGTCTAAAGATGAGAGTGACAGGATCAGAAGGGCCACAAGGTCATAGGGAGGTGAGGTGACTGACTTGTAGTCACTTGGTGGGTCAGTGGCAGGGTTGATATAGGCACTCTTGCTTTGTAACCCAGTGCCTAAGCTACAGGCATCTGTGCTGAATACTATTGCTACGAATAATGACTTTTTCCAAAGAGAAAGGTTTGATTTCCATAATTTCAGAAGACTTGTGAAATCCTTCTGGGGGAGTAATGTGGTATGTTTAAAATGAAACTGTATTGGCAAACCGGGAACTTAGTCTCGAGTCATCAGTTGTGTAAATAAAGTACTCAGCTTGAAAGCTTTGGTCTATGTCTTTATCAAAATTATTTACGGCATTGTCATTGGCTTCTGCATCTAGATGTGGTTAGATGGAAATTGCTTCTGTTACCATGCAATGTGAATTCAGTTGATCTGAGAACCCAGACTGGCTTTCTAATTCAGTGCTGGTATTAGTGATTCTGTTGAAGTTCACGTGATCTGTGAAGCAGAATATGGGATCTTCAGGGATCCAGTGGAATTTTTTTGTTAACCAATGTGATTTCCATGTCTGGTAGAGTGGGGATTCAACCTTGATCACTCTCTGTGGTGCTGCTGAAAGATTCTGATGATCAGATTTTGCAGTTCCTGCACTGAAAAAATCTTTCAGTCAGTGGATTTATGGGAAAAGGAAGAAGGTGCTAGTCCCTGTGTCAGAGTCCCATGGAAACAGGTGTTTGCTGTTTTTCTTCTCTTTCTAGACTGAACAGCAGTACTGCTAGACATCATGTTTTTAAATGTAAACACTGAGTCAATCTGTATCTCTGCAGGGCAGAACTCTCTTCTTTGACCCATCAGTCATCAGGGTTAGGCTTATCGGGGTCTATGCTCTGTAACAGTGAGCTGGACCTTGAAGGGGCTAAGGTCATGTTACATGCTGCCATCATCTGAAATAAGTGCAGAGCTGAGATCTTAACCCCTTCAAGCTCTGCTTGTGGAGCAATGTTTTTTCTTGGCATCAAAGTGAGTAACTGATATGAGAAAGTATAATGCACACCTGGCTGTAAGCACTGGGTCTAGAGGTAGAAGCTGGGTTTCAGGAAAGCACGAGCAATGGCACATCTACCTTCTCTGAACCACACAAAGGTGGAAGTTCAGATGCGTGGCTGGTTATTTTAGCATCTTTCTGGAAGAGCTGCTCAGAGAAGAAGCTTTGCTGGGGCCATTCCTTCTTCTGCATTGCTCACTTCTGGGCCTGAATTACTTGGATTATGCTCAGCCATCCGGTTTCAGGCAGTTAATATTAACACAAACACAACTCTCTCTGGGAAGGCCCTTCACCGTTTGGACATTGTGCTCCAGCACTTGTTGGAAGAAGCTTCCAGAGCCCTTGGATGACCATAAAAACTATTGCCTAGGAAATTAGGCAGTTCTTCATTAACTGGCTTGTAATTTGATTGTCTAGGTTCATATTTGTCTTTGGCATCATGAGAGCTAACTTCATAGCTGCCTTGTTAATGTGCAGGTAATGGTCCTTGATGCCTTATATTTGTTTGGTTTTTTTCCGCCTTGCAGCTGCGTGGTGCATCTGGTAGCTTTTGAAGAGGCCAAATGGTGTTTGCAATCTAAGTGGGTTTTGCTCTTCTCTTTGTAGATGCTGGCCAAAGCAAGTGTCGATTAGAGAGAGCTCAAGCACTGGAACAGGCAAAGAAGCCCCAGGAAGCAGTCTTCATCCCAGAATGCAATGAGGATGGATCATTCACGCAGGTAAAATTTCTGTTGGCTTCCTTCAGCCAGGCTCCCGGTGGCTGCAGGAGATTCACTGTTAAGGCATGAGCCAAGTGATGATAGCAGCGTGGGTGCACACTCTGGCATAGTTACTCAGGTGAAAGTATTGGAAGCTGGGGACTTGTTTAACCAACTGGAAGCTTTGATTCAGTCACTATACCTTAAAAGACATATATATATGTAATGGCATCTACCTCCAAAGTAGCACAAACAAATGGCATCAACCTCCAGCATAGCACAGAAACAAAAACAAGTTGTAGGGAAGGTCAATTTTTCCCTGAAGATGAGCTGCAAAGAGAGCTGTGGCTCACACAGAACAGGGTGGACCAAGTTTTTCTTGTGCTACCTGTGCTTCATCTATCCCAGCAAAAAAGAGTGGTCTATTGAGCCTCTTCCCTCTGCAGAGTACTTGTTAGTGACAGACTCCTCTTTCCTGTTCTATGCCCTGTTGTGGTTTGGGGGTCTGGCAGAAAGGTGATGAGACTGCTTTGGTTTTTTGATTTTTCACTCTTCACTTGCTGGAAGTAAATGATGTGCTGGGATTGTAGACTGTTTCATAATGCTGCTTCTCTTGAGAAGCAATTATCTCAGGAGGGGTAGCAGAGGAGGCTTATGGTTTTTTGGCCTTTAATATCTGTGAAAAATGAATAGTCACTCCTGGTCACTGAGCATCCTTCAGAAATAGTTGGACTGGGAGAGGTCCTACAGCGTTCCAGAGAAGTTGAAGTAGTTATGGGAAAAAGAAAGCCCTCATGAAGGAGATTTTGAGAGAAAGAGTAGTTTGTCAAGGCAGGGTAGAAATGAAGAGTGATACTTGGTTCTGTTACCACTTGCATATTGGGTAGTGTCCCAGTGCTAACTGAACTGGGTGTTAAAAATGGCTCATGTGCAGTTCCCTAACAGGTAGGAGGTGTATGCTGTCTGCTCAGCTTGGCACATATCTCAAAAGCCAAAATCCTGCAACTCTGACCTCTACTTTGTGAACTTGGGTAAATCGCACTTTTTTTGCCTTAGCTTCCCTATATCTAGCACTGCTCTAGAGATCTTGTGCCTCAGAGAAATTTTAGGATTCATTAGTTATTGTTTGCAAAGTCTTTTGAAGGTTAAAAAAAAATATTCCAAAATACAATCAATATTGGCTTCAAAAAGATGAGAAAGACGAAAAGTTGGTTCAAACACTTTGTGATGCCTGGGGAAAGAGGAGAGGAAAGATTTTTTTGTGATAACCCACCAAAAATTTTTATTCACCCCCTCAGCCTTACCCTCCCATTATCTGGTGTGTGGGAGTGTTTTTGTTTTGTTTTTTTAATGGCAAAGTGGGAAAAGTTTTATCCATCCTGCCAACTTTGCATACTTCTTTGGAGCAGCATCATATTTCTGTACAGTGTGGACCATCTTGGGAAAGCGGGGGTAAGAGAGAAGGTGGCTGCAGTTTCTTGCAGTCTAACTGCACTCTCAATTGTTGGAATTTGATTTTGTGTAGAGCTGCTCAGGTTATGTTGGCACTGGAGGGGAATACTTATAGAACCTAGCCCAGTGGGCCAACTAAGTGTTCCATGTTAAACTTCATAGTTCAAGAAAAAAGGGGGAAGGAAAGTTGACTTTCCCATGTCTCTGTTAGCTGTCCATCAGCCTCTTGGAGAGTAAAGTATGGGGTGCAGGTGAAATTTTTATCCTAATAAGCTGGACTGAGAGTGCAGTTGATAAAGCTTTGTTTCAGACAGGTTTATTTGGAAGGTTGGTACCAGTGTCTGGATTGCAGAGCCGTTGCTGGGCCTTCTTCCTGCACATTCCCTGGCCAGTGTGGGTTGCCAGTGGAAGGGCAGCATGAAACTCCTTACAAAAACTGTGTGTTCTCAGCTGGCAGCCAAGCAATAGTTCACATTCTTCCTCTGTTCAGTCCTATCTGTGAACACTAAAATGCTTTTGTTTTACCTGGCATGATGAAGGAAGCCTCTGATCCCTTTGTAGCTGGAATTAACTGAAATTCATTTCATTCCTTGGATCGTAAAAATACCCCACGTTCCACATGCCTTAGGAACCAGCTTCATCATTTATATTGCAGCATTTAAGGTCATTGTCCCTGCATAAGATGTGAATGAAAAACAATGTCCGAGGAAGCTAACTGGTTTCGACCTGCATTTGAGACAAATATTTCCTTTAGCTTCTGCTCCAAATTAATTAAACTTTGATTTTAAAAACATGTATAAAAATTAGAATTTTGGTGAACAGTCTAAACAGTTTTTACTTCCAGCAACTCATTAATAGATCTCATCTGGTGGAGGTGGTTTGGATACTGCATCTCTTGTGCAGAGAATTGGCACCCCGGGGTTCTGCTCTGCAGGGAAGCTGTGTAGGCCAGTTCTTGCAGTCCCTGAGGCCTTGCTGAAGTCAGCCCTGAACTGTTATTAGTTTATTCTGGTTCAGTACCCAGAGAGTTGCTCCATCCAAACTCCAAAATCTCAGTTGGGAAGTCCAGAACAGAGCAGCATCTCTCAACGAAGTTTCTAGGAGAAATACCCACCATGCTCTTCAACCACAAATCCCCATCCCAACAAGAATTTAAGCAGATGTCTATGCTTCAGGGTATATCCTGTATGTAGAGTTGGCTAGGGAAATTTTTTCAACAACTTCCGCTCTTCTATGTAACTGTTATTGGAGGAATATTTTGGGTAGAAGAAAAATTTGGATCAGAGGGGAAACAAAGATGCATGCATATATTTAGAATATCAAATGTCTTAATTGTTATAGTACTCACTCACGATGTGCATGACTTGCTTTCAGGTATTGAGCTGACTCACTTCTTTGTAGATGCATACACAGTAGGTATTCAGGCCCACATCATCGTCCTTGCCATCAGACTTCAGAAGATGTAGGTTTTTGTCTAGTTAATTGTTGGAAATTCTTGAAAGTTTTGCAGGAGTGAAAAACACGAACAGTGCAGGTTTGGGAGCTTCATTTGATAGTGGTAACTGTATGTTCACAGAACCTGCTTGGTTTTAACCAGATTGAACTGATGCTTTTGTGGTTTATCATCGTCCTCTTGATTAGAAACTAAATTGCAGTCACTATAGGTGGACACTGAAAGCAGTACTAAGTGAGGCTGTTCCTCTGAAAGCAGCTCAAGTCTGCCCTTTCCAGCTCCTGGAATTGCATGCAGTACAAAACTGTGTGAATTTGGGGCTGGATCCACCGCAAATTGGATGGGGCTGTAGGATGGGGAAGAGAACACAGCTACTCTGCTGTTCTGTGACTGGCAGCATGTGCTGCATGGGGCAGTGGCTGCAGAGGGGAGACCATGCTTGCCTTATCTCCTCCTGCTTCCCTGCAGGGCAGCTGGCTCTGAGAGCCAACAGTTGGATGTGGTAACAAGGGTGAGAGGGAGGAGGGCCTGAAGGCAAAGACCTTGGTTTGGTTTGCATTTAAACCTTGTGTTAGAGAGACGTCCTGTGTGTCTTAAAAACTTCTATCATCTTTTTTTTTTCATTGTCTGTAAAACCTAAACTGAAGAGAAGTGTTGCCACCGATTCTATTGCTTGGATGGCCAGTTTTCCTAGGCATGGCTAGTTAAATGTGTTTTGTGTACTGCATGAAGAGGAGCAGGCACCTGTCAATTCACTGGTTTTCATAACTGTTTCTATGCACCATGTGTGCTGCTTCCCTTATTCTGGGAGTTTGTGCATGGCAAAGATCTTATCAAATCCTTTTTTAGCGCTGCTTACACATCTAAAAATGTGGCATGGATTTGCAGCATGGAAGAGGTGGTGGCATTGCAGGCATGATGGGATGACTGTAAATGGGAGCAGACCTGATGAATTGTTCTGGCATTGCTATTTCTTTATATTTCAGTCTGTGTGGGCAATATTACTTCCTGTAACAAAAGCTCTCTGCACTTAGCCCACAGTAATGTAAGCATGCAGATAAAATTTGTTATTCACAACATAAGAATGTTTGTTTGATATGAGTAATTTGATTAATTGTATAAAACTGAGGTCACTTACTGTTGTGCAGAATTGGACATGACTAAAACCAGTTTCTGTTCCCAAGACTCACGCTCTGCTTTTTGCTGTTATGCTGTATTTTGCATAAATGCCATTCCCTTTCTGTGCTGCACTTAACCTGCTGTGATCTGTTCTTCATAAACAACAGGCTCTATTGGGTAATCTGCACACTTTCTTTTGCTGCCTAGTGCCATTGGGCTTGTTGCCATGGGCTGAGAGAGACTTGCATTCTTCATAGCTTTCCCCCAAGCAGTTTTTTAGAAAAGGTTGCTGAGGTTTTAAATGGGATCAGTTTCAGACAGATTAATATGAACATGAATAATATTAACCCTACTTTGAGGGTGTAGTCTTGTGGGGCTTTTTGTGGTGTGTCTTGCTACTTGCTGCCACCTTCCACTGTCTAGCTGTGGTTTCTTTTCCTCGCAAGTCTGCATACAAGTGGCTGAGAGCAAGTCTCCTTGGAGGGTTTTTTTGAGTTTAGCGCTCTCAATACTGCGGCTGCTGGTGCAGTTACGATGCAGCACTGCGATTTCTCTTGAAGCGAGTGCATCAGTCAAACCTGTTGTCTTATGACGGGATCAGTGAGTGGGCTGACTTTGTCAGAGCAGTTTTCCATTATCAGATAGCTTTCAGAGCATTCCCACACCTGGTAAAACAAATTTGTTTGGAAAGAGTGATCTATATTACAGTCCATAGCAATAGTTTCATTCTGTGCTGTTCTAATGAATGTACAAAGTACTGGTTTCTCCTAATTCCCACAAACAGACCCCTTTCTGTAGAGGTGGGGAACCCTCTCAGCCTTCAGTGTGACTTCATGATCCAAGTCTGTTCCTCTGCATTGGCTACTGTAGCATGATGCTGGGCAGAATTACAAACTCATTTCTTAATGCAGCACGGTGCTGCAGGGCACTGTGTAGACATGTCCCGCATTCCCTGGATGCTGCCTATTATTCCATTATTCAGTGCTCATACTCTAGC